CATTGTAGAATGTAAATCATTGATGTCGGTAATAAATATGATTTTTTGTGTGTAAAAATATAATTACCAAGATATGACCAAAGATCTAGTTTTCTTGAGAAGGGTGACTCAAGACAGCGTTGAAGGAAATCACTGAACATCTTATCGGAATCCCGCTTATTATCCAAGAACTCTTTCGCCTGAAAACAAAGGAAAGTCAGAAGGTGGAAATTTTGATTTTTTTGTAAATAATTTAAATAATCATCTTGAACTACGGGCGTAATTTTGAGGTTTACATGCCCAATTCACGATGGTGACCTTTAAGCCTTTTTCTCAGCAAAAATTGTGGAAACGACCTCGTTAATTGATATTTTTTTGTCGTTTTAGCAGCAGAGAAAAGAAAGTAATTTGACAGAATTTATTTCATGTTAAAAAGTCTCCGATATCTTTATCTATTTTACATAATAATTATTGCTGTATACTGAAATATTTTGCTAGTACGCGTAAATTTTTTTCTAGTGGAATCTTAAGTGTTTTCAAAAATGTTTTTGTAATTGTGTCCTTGTTAAAAATTATCTTATTCTTAGATACATCGGATACATCCACAATACAAACAATAGAAAAATGTTTGTTTTTAATCTTCCTGACTGAAACAATCTCAAGAACTGACGAGTGACCCAGGCCGAAATATATTCTTAATAAATGTGGAACTAACAGCTACTTTTTTTACTCTACAGGGGTTTGGTCCATCACCATCGTCGAATTTTAAAGAAAAAAAGCATTTTTACTTTTATCAACCCTTAACACTTATCACAACTTTTTTGTCTTATAACAATCCTTTTTAAACTTAATTTACCTGAATAAGATTAGCACAGTACGCTACATACGGTGCTTCTAATGTTTTAATCCAGATGGAGACTACACCCCCAATTTCAAACCAAAATCCATCCTTGCACTGAACCTTCTTCAAGCCGGCATGTAGGGACGCATGGAGAGGCGTGAGGGCGTTTAAGTGACCGAACACCAGCTGTTCCTCCTGATAATAATAATCTTTATTACTTTACTGATTGTAAACTTTGTTTACTAATTCTAAATTAAATTCAGTAATAGTCAGAAAAAAAACCAAGTCAAAATAAATAAAAATTAGTTTTGAAATTTATTTTAAAAATTTTACTATGAGCATTGAGCACCTTCATGGTGTACCATGTATGCTAAACTATTCAAAACAATATCTTTAACATAAATTAGTTCTACTATATTTTGGTTGCCCCTATATTGGTCTATGATCATTAATTACCTCAGGTTTAATAATATTAAGATGAATCATAGAATCTGCGTAGGTTTTCCTTACAAGTTTCAAATCCTCAACAAGGTCTTCTTCTCCGTTATATAGTTCGTACACAGCCTCCTGTAGTTTTATCTCCTAAACATTCAGTACTGTACAGTGTACATGTTAATACTAGTTGTAAAATGTAAACACCTACCTTTTGTGAGAGTTTATGACACTGGTCCGCGTAAACTGTGGACCAGTAGCGTGTGGGCCTGGACTTGGTAGGTGTTGGCCCTGGGACCCTGTAGGGGGTCAGACTACTCGTCGAGGATTTACGGGTCAACGTGACGGAGGATCTTCTGAACGGAGATCCAGGCCACGCCATTGGTTCCTAGATAGATTCACATTAATATTATTGTAATTATTAGCAGAAAACTCATCGTTCAATGAAATAGAGTCGACGCTCCTTGCCTTTCTCAAACAGACAAAATGGTCTGTTTTGCCCTAAGAAGGAGACTTGCCCAGGGGGACTGCTTAAAACAGATCTGTTGCTAAATCTCTTTAATTGAATAATGGATGAAAATCATAAAAGTAAAATTAATAAAGTATATAACAGCAAATGCGTGCTCAGATGCCGAATTTAAAGAATTTGAGCCGCGGCTTAAATTTAAGCCACGGCTCAAATATGGTTGGTTCGGTTCCACTTAAAATCATATTCATTATTTCAAGATTTAAGCCGGCGCTGAATTGAAACCAGTTTTTGGGGGATTTAAGACGCGGCTCAAATTCATTAAATTCGGAAACGGGATCCAGATCCCAACAGTGAGAAGTAGCAAACAAATGGGACCAATTCAATATGGCAAATATTTGGTTTTATTAAACCTTTCATGACACTAATATTAATATTGAAACAAACATTTTTATTAAATTTTCATTGTTTTGCTGGGATCCTTATTTTCCAAAAGAATTAATTATTCCAGATTTGATATTATAGAAATTAAGAACATGTTTAAGCCAAAAATAAAAGTCATATCCCATGAATTGCAAAGAAAAAACTTAAATTGTGACTTGCAAAAAAAAAGAAGATATACACATAAGAAGAAATTGAGAAATGTGTTGAACTAAAAATAAGATAAAAAAGAGGCACAAAATAAAAAAGGACCACACAAAAGAAAAAAATACGGTCCGGTAAAAAAGAGAAAATTAAAGCTCTCGAAAGAAGAAGTTTTCATAAAATTCTATTTTTACAGAAACCTCGATAAATATTAAAAATAATATCAATCGATTCATACTTTTTTGAATTTGGGAAAATAAATGATTTTTTGAGGAAAATAAATAATTTTTGTGTGTAAAATTAATAAAAAAGACTGAAAAATGTTGCCTTTTGATGTTCAATTTTTTATGTTTTCCTCCCCCCCCCCTCTCAAATAATCAAAAATCCCCCCCACACTCAACCCCCCAGGGAAGGGTGTGATTCTTAAAATGTACACCCCTGATCTGTTTAATAAAATACATCAATATTTAACCTGTAAAGAGACAGATCCAGGTGAGGTTCTTCCAGATTTATTTTCTTCAAACATAGTGCTCGCTGAGCGAGCGAGACTAGCGGTGCTAGGCGTGCGTAATGAGCCTGCCGGCGAGCCAAGCCGGGCAGAACTAAAAATATAAATATTTTTTTAATTAACAGTTTTTATTAATAAAAATGTTTTCTAAATATTGTTCGATCTTTTTTACAAAAAGATAGGACACTCCCCGTCCCCTCCCCCAAAAATTGACTAAAATATTAATTTTAAACAATGTTATGTGTACTTTAAAGTATCCAAGAAGGGGGGGGGGGAAGCTCTTTTTTCGAATTTAAAAAAAGAAATTTTAAAATTTTTTATTAATTCAAATTTGGGAGAATTGGTAATGACAAAAAATGGAAAAATAGAAATTTAGTCTTTTTTTTACAAATTGAAAATGTATTATTTTTTATTTACCTTAGAGATTTATGAAGAGCTGAGCTCATTTTTCCAAGAGGGGTTGAGAATACAGAGGCAAGAGAGGTAACCCTTGATAAGAGAGTTTTAGTTACTACGGGATAAACATAGATACTGAGTATTGTATAAATAGAGGAAACCTATATATGACAGTTCAGGTTATTGAGAGGTGACTCAAGACAAGAGTTTAACTCATAGAGGCAACCAGGTTATTGAGAGGTGACTCAAGACAAGAGTTTAACTTATAGAGGCAACCAACATTGGAATTTTAGTTAGGAAGAGGTAAGCCTAGATTTAAGGAATTTATTTTAAGAGAGTTAATACTATGAGAGTATTAGTAAGAGAGGTAAACCGAGAGTTGTTTTCTAAAACGATCGTTAAACGACCGTTTTTTTTTCGTTTTTATGTCGTTTTCAAAAACGATCGTTTCGTTATCGGAAAAAAAACAATCGTTTTTAAAAACGACTCAGTAGTTTTGAAATTTTAGAAAACGAATAACGATTTTTTAAACGATAGTGCTATAAAAACGTTTTTGAAAAAAAATGTCATTGATAAATATGTTAACGATCGTTAACGAAACGACGAACTTTAAAAAACGAACGTTTTCTTCAAAAACAATCGTTTTGGGAGAAAAAAATTACATGCAGAGATAGACAGTGAGATAGATACTAGATAGATAATAAAAGACAGATAGTCTTTCTTAGTTGTTCTTATCATTTAGACCAAGGGAACAGATGGTGACCGAGTTAGACAGAGTTAAACAGACAGACAGAATAGATGGATATATAGATAGATGGAAAAATAGATAGATGGAAAGATAGATAGATAGATGAATACTGACAGAAAGATAGAAAGATACCTGGGTAGTTTCTTTTTCTTAGTTTCTGGTTGTTCTATATTATCTAGATCAAGAGAACAGATGGAAACACTGTCTGGATCCTTCCCTCCCCCTGGGATACGTCGCTTCCGCTTCCGCTAAAATAAATAGGCTTGGTCCAAGGGCGTACTAGAGCAAAAAAATGTTGTGCCCCTCTTGGCAACAGTGTGCCCCCCCCCTTAAAAAACCCTGTTTTGAAATAATATTGATACCTTTTTTTAACCATTTAAACTATTCGATCATATACAGTACACACTTCCATATTACAAGTGATAATAAATTATTCATGTAATTTTCTTTAGTGGTTTCATAAGACAATCCCTCTTAATACTGTGGTGTAAGCTTCACGGGGTGAAAGATAGATGAGAGATGGAAACGTTTCTTAAAAATATCTATATTTTCCTAGGATCGATACATATTGTATTATAAATAATGATATCAAGTATATATTTACACTGAAGGCAATATTGATTAAACATTTTTTAATGAAACTTTTTTAGTTAAGAGCAAAAGTGGGATTTTATAGTAGTTTTTACTTAACGATTTAATTATACTTAAATGGAATACATGTGCCCTCAAAGGGCACGCGTAGGGGGTACCCGGCGCCCCCCCCCTCGTACACCCCAGGTTGGGTCAATACAGGATTTCTCCCTCCAATCCCTTTCTAAGAGCAGATTTATATTTTTTTTAGTAAAAAGTATTTATTAGGTAAAAAAGTCCGATTCTTTAACCCAAGGCAAAGTTTATAAGAATTCATTTCGGAGGCGAAAAAAAACTATATACCCCTCCGATATTTACCAAAGCAAAGTTTCTAAGACTCCGTGTCGGAGGCTGCATGAAACTATCTCTCTCCTCCTCGAAACCGCTCTCATTTAGAATATCTTCATTCATGTTCTTTCTGAAATTTTTTTTTCAATTATTTTGTCGCTCCAATTGACTTCGGAAAAAACTAGGTAAAGAAAACAAGAGAAGGAATATGACGCTTAATTCAAATTATATCTTATCGGTTGGGAAAACAAGAGAAGGAATATGACGCTTAATTCAAATTATATCTTATCGGTTGGGAAAAAGGCAGTATACAATTCAGTAGCGTTGAGATAGATTAGGAAAATACAGAGTTTTAAGAGTTAAGGGAAACGATGCAAATAGTTCAGCATTAATGAAAAGGAAAGTTTTAGAGACGTTTAGAGAAGGAAAAAGTTTAGAAAAACGCTGAGTTTATTTGAGGAAAATGTCAATTTTAATTGAGGAAAACGTTCTGCTCCTTGACGGTCTCCTCCTGGTAGACAAGGTAGGTCTGGGGATGGTTCTCCTCCACCAGGTTTCTGTTCTCTATCTCAACAGCTCGTCGTAAACATTCATCCACATCCTCCTAGATCAATCAAGAAATCAGACCAATCAATCAATTACTCTTTCAGTCAGGAAATAACCAATTTTCTTTAGTGATCACAAAAAAAAATTAACAACTAGCCAACAAATCATCCGACTAGCCAACCAATCATCCGACTAGCCAACCAATCAGCCAACCAGCTAACCAACAATCCAACCAACCATCCAACCAACCAACCAATCAACCAACCAACCATCCAACCAACCAGCTAACCAATCAACAAACCAACCAGCCAACCAACCAGCTAACTAACCAACGAACCTGGAAAACTGAAGGTTCTAGACCTAAATCCTTCTCCTCTGCCATAATATGTTTAAGTTTATCAGCTTTATCCCGCAGAAACTTGGGCTGATCTTCCATTAATTTTCTCTTATATTTATCCAATCTTCAGTTTAACATTATAAATAAAAACTTTAAATCATTGGATAAAATGGGGCGAGGCCGAACTATTGTTTTTTTTTTTATATTAACGTATTGATCAAGAAACATCTTTTATTTATTCTTAATCAAGGACCTCATTTGTATTCTTAGTACTAAAAGAGAAAATAAGTATCCCGATCCCTCTGCACTCCTGAGACTATGAACCTCAGGTTAGGAACAATATATTTTATGATTTATAATGTTCCTGTGTTGTTTAAGCTCATCACACCATAAATCCGTTAGTCTCTCAATACTGCTCTTACGTCCAACAGCAAACTGAACAATATTTCCTTTTCAAGCTAATTTTGTTTCAATAATTTACTTCCACAGATGGTCTATTAATTGCTTCAAATTCTCCCAAAAATATAGATATTTATGTAAACTACTCAATTATTCTCTTTCGGAAAAGGGAAGTAATGTTTTTCAAGAAACCTAAGTATATCTAAAGAATAAGTCATTAACGTTAATTTCTTGCTGCTTTTACGTTTATTTAATGCATTAGACTTTTTAATAATTCTCAATATTTCTGCGGGTAACTTAATATCCCCTTAGAACAATTTAAATTACACATTCTGCAAGACGAAAAAAAGATTAACAGCTACTTTTTCAAAGGGACAGTAAAGGAAAAATTAAAGGGGGTATAGGCTGAAAGCTAATCACTTTAGCTCTTGATCGCGACCCATGAAAGTTTTATCTGATGTTTCATGGTCTGTTTAAACCTAATATTTCTATACGAAATTGTATATATATGCATTTTCGTACAAGTTTGAAACAGCTTTATATCAACTCTCGAGTTAGGAACTTCAGATAGGCGTCTCAAGGGGCTCGATGAAAAGCTAAAGTGATTAGCTTTCAGCCTATACCCCCTTTAATTTTTCCTTTACTGTCCCTTTAAGATTCAAATTAAAATAAAATCTTATTTAATCCTCAGCAAAGAAATTGTTTCATTGCATAATTAACTTGTTTAAACTTACAGCATCATAATGAGGAACTGGTTTATAAAATAGATTTAGTTTCTCCAGCAGCCATTCAAACTTACGGTAGTCTTGCTCACGGAGTATTTCTAGTAGAAATATACACTTCAAACATAGCCAGGAGGGATTTATGTTTTGAGGATCTGTAAGCGTAATTTCAAGTAACCTTCCACTCTACACAGCAATGCTCGATTTAAACCAGTACCCGTAATCTGATCAAAAATGTAAAAAGAATCTTGTTTTCTAACTAGAAAAGTGTCTATTTCTGTGAATTTTTCCGTTGTTTCAAATAAGCAAGAAATGCAGAGAAACCTCAAATGAAAATAAAACAGTTTAATTACACAAAAACATGCATATCTAATTCACACTTGATCAGACAAAGCTTTTAAGAGTACCGTTGTAAATCGGGCATTGCCATCTTTGCATGGAGGGTCACTTGAAATTACGCTTACAGTCTCTTCTATGTTGAGGAGAGGGGTTGAAGGGCAATATAAGGAATTGCCCATCAAGAAAACATAATCAAATTCGTAGCGCCAAAGTATGATTAGCGGCATAAACAGAGAATACACGTTAAATCAGTTGGTTTAATTTATAAAATTCCATGACTGGCCGCTAGGTTTATGCTTTCTCAATGACATACCCAAGCTCATATATTTGATGGAGGGTAAAAAAGTTTTTAAGTTATTAAAACTAAAAGACATGAAGAAAAATACAAAGAAAATTGCAGTACAAGTTTCAAAGTTAATTCCGAATTTCTTTTATTAACTGAGAATATGTTAGTGTATATGTTTCCTAATAGTCTACGGCGCAACGCAATACAAGCAGTCATATTGTGCTTGAGAGGTTGATTCTTGTAAGGATATCTTTCGACCAGATCTCTGTGGTAATTTCTAATCTTGACGGTAAGGGTCGCAATCTTGACCTCCAGGGAACTGTCGTCCAGGGGGTGCTGACGGACCGTCGTTACTATACCATATAAAGTAGTTAGCTTACAAAGTCAAGCTGTGCTTAGGATCTATTTAATTTTGATGCGGACCCGCACCTGAATCCAGGTCATTAACATTTCTTGATTTACAGATTTTTTACCAGAAAAAGAATTTTTAAATTATTTTTCTTTCTTATTTTCGTTATTTTTATGCAAAACTTGTGAACCATTCAGAGATAAGGACATTTTTGGTAATCTCTCTTTTTTTACAGTTCAGACTTGGCTTTTGAGAGCAAAAGATTTTTGTTTGCAGTTTTTGATTGATATTTTGCCCCTTGGATCCCGATCCAGGTAGCCAAAAATTTGCCGATCCGGCTTCAATATCATCTAGTTAGCACACAATATCAAGAAAGGAAAATACATTAACATGTAGTTAGAATACAATATCAAGCATTTTGTATACACTATAAAGTATTTACTATAAATGGCAAGTACAGTCAATATACAAAATAAAGTAAACAGTATACAATATCAAATATTTTCTGTACTATATCATGAAGCTAGTGTACAAGCGACAGCATGGCTCAAATTTGGTCGTGTGCTGAGATCTTTACCTAATAAAGCAATACCTAACTGGACATAAAAACGGGTTTCTTAATACTTAACCAGAGTTCGTAAACTTATTGGAATTGTAATCTTCATTAAGACATTTTAAAACCTTGGTAGAGATCGGGCTGAAAAACCTGGATGTGGGCAAGACTTGAAAATCAAACCTACAATAAGGAGCCTTAAGCCATCCCTACTAATATGATTTGATTTGAATTGATTTAATACAACATCAAAATTATTATAATATCATTTATTAGACAATATAAAGTACTGAGCATAAAAATATAGCATTTATTTATCTTAAAATAGATAAATAAATAATAAATTAGCATCCAATAACAATCATTTATTAGACAATATCAAGTACTGAGCATAAAAATGTAGCATTTATTTATCTTAAAATAGATAAATAAATAATAAATTACTTAATAAAAATATAGCACTTATTTATCTTAAAATAGATAAATAAATAATAAATTACTTACATCATATATATATTGTTTAAATAGTGAAATGTAAAGAATTTACCTAGATCTCTTTTTAGTTTTTGCATTGAATCTCGTCTCCGTCTATATTCAAGACTTAAAATTTTCTGAACAACAGCGTCAGCCTCGGCCAGGGCCTTACAGCCCTCCAGCTCCAGCGGAGGCTGGGTCTGGTCAACCTCGCCAAAATGTTCTAAACCTCCGATATCACCGGATAATTCTGGATTGCAAGTCTCAACTCTCTAAAATTTACTTTTTTAAAATATAACTATAATTGATTTAAATTATATAGTATAAAAATAAAAAAATAAAAAAATAAAATGAGATTCACTTTTCGGTGAAGAAATAAACATTTTTCTTACAATTTTACTTGTTTACAGTGACATATTGAGAAAATATAATGAGAGAAAACAAATTTTTCTCTCATTATATTTGCAAACCTTATTGGTAACGATTTGTTATTGACATTTTAACCTTTTGTCTTATGTTATTCAATATTTCCGTTTAAAGTTTTTTCTCGTTGCTTTTCTTCTCTTATTTTGTAAATATGCTTCTCACCACTGGTCTCTTCCACTGGACGAGGATGGGATGAACTTTATCCGAGACTCCGGGGATAGTTTTATCTGCTCGTGTGTTAACTTTACCCAGGAGAATACCAGTCTTATCTGCAGGTTTCACCAAGCGGTCGCAGAGTCGTCGAGATCTAAATCTTACTTGTATCCGTCCTACTGATCCTAGAATAAAAAATACGATCCGTCTTTGATTCAGATTCTCTGGTTCGATCCCGTGAGAAAAAAAATTGGGATTCATCTTGTAAAATATGACAGTGGTTCAGAAAAAAAAACACGCACTTAACTGACAGCTTACAAAGCTATATATTTTAGGAAATATTTATGAATTATTAAACTTTTTGACAAAACTTTGATAGAAAAATTTAAATTTATCAAAACACTTGCTTTTAGAATAAAACACTTGTGTATGGGATTTAAGATAAAGATTATATAAATAAGTATAAACATTAAACATGTCAGCTAGCAGTTAACCAAAACCTTGAATTGCTTGAGACAGTGGTATCAGTAAAGTCAGGTTAATTTTACAATTTTACTAGAAAAGAAAGGGTAAAACAACGTTTTACATTGACAATTCAAAGAAGTTTGGTTAAGAGGGGGAGAAACCTTAAGATAGTTATACGAAAATTATCTTTTACAGTTATCAAAATTAATTAGTTTAGATTTAGTTAAAAATTTGAACCGCGAATGCTTAAAAAAGTTAATATTCAAGAAATCATTGTAAATAATGAAAGATAACTTTATAATAGAGCTCTACCCATGAGTGTCGACAAAAAAATTTAGCCCATTCGGTACAGCCGTTTGGTAAGCCAGGGAGAACATATATATGAATGGCTTGCTTTATTATATAGATGTATATATATTTTAGCTATAGCTGGCCAAAGGGCTGGGACCAAATTGGCGGACATTTTTTGTTGGAAAAACCCATGGGTGGGGGTGACAAAGGATAAAAAATATTTTTAACATTCCACGGACAACGCCGGGAACTTAGCTGTTCATGCATAACTCAAGGCTAAAGAGTGCATCGCTAAATGAGAAGAACAAATGTATCAATACTTACCATTGTTGATAAGGAAAGAAGACGCAGCAGTGCGTCCGACTAAATGTAAAAGAGACATTCTGTCTGAAACAGGTACAGTTCAGATTCAGGTACAAGTTGTACAGTAGTGCAATTTGCAGTGTACATTAGTCTATAAGCGTATTCTTTCCATTGTAAAAGATCGGTCAAAAAACATTTATAATTTTTAATTTCAATAAAATTAAGGGTCCAAAAATAAACAATTCAACATTTTTTTAATTTTCAAAAGGTTCTTTCCAGGGTTTTAATCAGCAAATTGATCAAAAATTAATCATTTGCGAAAATTTGTTGTCTTCAGAAATAGTTATAAACATTGCTAATCTAATAATTGCATATTACTATAGATCTATGTTATTTATACTAAGTCAAAGCACTGAGTAATACTTATATCAGTCGGAACCGAGTCCGTTCGAATAAAATTACTGAACTGCTTGTAGCGTCTGAACCAAATATCTAAACTGCACAAAACTGTATACAACTCTATGCAGCATAAGGACCAAGTTTCTCCGCACCCGGACTGAAGAGCATTTTCTTGGGAGGAGAACATTCATTCACTTCTTGGGTCTTCAAGTATTCACGGGGACTAGTAGCAACCTACAACATATACAAGGGGACTAGTAGCAACCTACAACATATACAAGGGGACTAGTAGCAACCTACAACAACAATCAAGTTCAAGTATACAAGGGGACTAGTAGCAACCTACACCAACAATCAAGTTCAAGTATACAAGGGGACTAGTAGCAAACTACAACAACAATCAAGTTTAAGTATTCAAGGGGACTAGTAGCAACCTAAAACAACAATAAAGTTCAAGTATACAAGAGGACTAGTAGCAACCTACAACATCAATAAAGTTCAAGTATACAAGGGGACTAGTAGCAACCTACAACATCAATCAAGTTCAAGTATACAAGGGGACTAGTAGCAACCTACAACATCAATCAAGTTCAAGTATACAAGAGGAATAATAGCAACCTACAACAACAATCAAGTTCAAGTATACAAGGGGACTAGTAGCAACCTACAACAACAATCAAGTTCAAGTATACAAGGGGACTAGTAGCAACCTACAACAACAATCATGTTCAAGTATTCAAGACATAAAAACGTCTGCTTCAAGACGATGGAAAAGTTTGAAGCTAGAGTATATTTACAACCCTGTAATAACTACAAATACAGACCTGAACAGGAGAAAGATAGCACTTCCTACACACCGCCATATACTTATCAGCCCCACCTATCACCTAACATAAACATAAACTTTTTTTGAAACAGAAAAATTATAATACTTTAATTGTCCTATTTGTGATCCTTCATTAAAAAGAAAAGAAAAAAGGGGCATGCTCTATTAACAAAGGTACCTTTCAAATCAAATTTCAGAAAGAGAAGGGTACAGTTGTGAATCAGACATATGGGGACACATGAAATTACGTTAAAAATCCCTTTAACTAAAAATCATATTCTCTTAAAAAGTATAAAAATGTACCTCTAATGATTCCTCTTGTGAAGTACGTTTAGTAAAAGCTGCATCTCCGAAACAGTTCATACAAACAGCACTGTTCAGAAAACCAGTCCAGTCAAATATATATACTATATTTAGCACGTACCATATTACATTGGATTATCTCTAATTTTCAATTGCATCAATACTTACTGTTCTGGTTTATTTAAAGGGACTGGAGCTGCTCTGATTTATAAAAGGGACTGTTCTGGTTTATTTTAAGGGACTACAGCTGCTCTGATTTATAAAAGGGACTGTTTTGGTTTATTTAAAGGGACTGGAGCTGCTCCTATTTACAAAATGAACTGTTCTTGTTTATTTAAAGGTACTAGAGCTGCTCTGATTTACAAAATGAACTGTTCAGGTTTATTTAAAGGGACTGGAGCTGCTCTGATTTACAAAATGAACTGTTCTGGTATATTTAAAGGGACTGGAGCTGCTCTGATTTACAAAATGAACTGTCCTGGTTTATTTAAAGGGACTGGAGCTGCTCTGACTTACAAAATGAACTGTTCTGGTTTATTTAAAGGTACTGGAGCTGCTCTGATTTATAAAAGGGACTGTTCTGGTTTATTTAAAGGGACTGGAGCTGCTCTGATTTATAAAAGGGAGTGTTCTGGTCAATTTAAAGGGACTGGAGCTGCTTTGATTTATAAAAGGGACTGTTCTGGTCAATTTAAAGGGACTGGAGCTGCTCTGATTTATAACGGGACTGTACTGATTTATTTAAAGGGACTGGAGCTGCTTTGATTTAAAAGGGTATTCACTGCTTTATTTAAAGGTACTGGAGCTGCTTTGATTTATAAGGGTATTCTCTGGTTTATTTAAAGGTACTGGAGCTGCTCTGATTTATAAAAGGGACTGTTCTGTTTTATTTAAAGGGAATGAAGCTGCTCTGATTTATAAAAGGGACTGTTCTGGTTTATTTAAAGGTACTGAAGCTGCTTTGATTTATAGAAGGGACTGTTCTGGATTATTTAGCTCTGATTTATAAAAGGGACTGTTCTGGTTTATTTAAAGGTACTGAAGCTGCTTTGATTTATAGAAGGGACTGTTCTGGATTATTTATAGGGACTGAAGCTGCTCTGATTTATAAAAGGGACTGTTCTGGTTTATTTATAGGGACTGAAGTTGCTTTGATTTATAAAAAGGACTGTTTTGGTTTCCTAAGTTTAGTAACACCCTCTGCTAGTGGGATAAGATCCATAATGTTTGAGAAAGGTTTACGTTGAAAGGTTCCGTCCAATGCTGCGACCAATACAATCTAGAAAGTATTGAAATTATTGGAAATTGTTTTCATGAAAAGAACAAAAGAGTTGGTGCAGCCTAAAAAATCAGGACTTATCATTGAGAAGATAAATTTCAAATGAGTAAAAAAGGATCAAAAAACAAATCCAGGTTTAAAGGAGAGAACTTAATAACAAAACATGTTTGACGACATTTCACTTTAATGAAAAAAGCAGAATGCATAAAAATAAAATTTCCTAGTTCACCAAGGTTCTGGGTAAACTATATAATGTTTAGAAGGGTGCCAGATTAAGATAAAAAATAAAAGAATAAAAAATTACCTTTCCCATATTAGCCATCTCCTCTACCCAGGATATGTCGGGGAAGAACTGACCCTCGTCGATACCTATGACGTCGTAGGCCGTTGCCTAGATTATAATAATATCACATTCATCAACCAAGCTTTTTATAACATTTTACATTAAAAAGAATGAAATCTGGTTTTCCCCGACTTGGCACCACCCTCGTGATAGCTTTTTCTCAAGGAAATAATTTAGTTAAAACGTTCAAACAAGTTTATTGAGCAATTTAGTCTTTCAATATTTAAATTTTGTACACAATGGGTATCTTTAAAATTGTTGTACTTAATAACATACTTTTGTTTTGTTTTATTTTCTTTGGATATGCTTGCTTCGAAAGGAAAGCGGGAAAGGAAAGAGCAAAAGGAAATCAAAAAAGGAAAGAGGAAAATGAAGGAGAAAGTGAGGGAAAGGAAAGAGGAAAGTAAAGAGCAAAAGAAAGAGCAAAAGGAAAGAGGGAAATAAAAGAGGAAACGAAAAGAGGAAACTTCAAGAGGACAATGAAAGATAAAAAGAAAAGAGGAAAAGGAAAGAGGAAAAGTAAGAAGGAAAAGAAAGAAGAGAAAGGAAAGATGAAACGGAAAGAGGAAAAGGAAGAAGGGACAGAAAGAAGGGAAAGGAAAGAGGAAACGGAAAGAGGAAAAGGAGAGACGAAAAGGAAAGAGGTAAAGGAAGGAGAGAGGGAAAGGAAAGAGGAAATTGAAAAAGGGGAAGAAAGAGGAAAAGGAAAAGAAAGAGGAAAAAAGAAGAAAAGGAAAGAGGAAAATAAAAGTGGGAAAGGAATAAAGGAATGGAGTGAGAGAAAGAAAAAGGAAAAATATAAGTGGGAAAAACAGGGAAAGAATAGCGGGAAACCAGGGAACAGAAAGAGGGAAATGGAAAGAGGAAAAGGAGATCACCTTAGCAGTCAAAGGTTTAAGTGTAGTTGCTGCTACGGCAGGCAGTGTTTGTCTATCATGGGTAGAAATACCATTTTCGTCATATCTAGTCAAAACTTTGTAGTTGGATTTTAGTTACGATTGATTAATTTGGTTGATTTAATTGGTTTTATTGGTTTTATTGTTTTGATTGGTTTGATTGGTTTGATTGGTTTGATTGGTTTGATTGGTTTGATTGTTTCGATTGCTTCTTTATTCACATTTGTTGATCTTTCTTAAAACACAATAATTTTTTAAAAATGTCACCAACCTCACATCCTTGGCATATTTGATAATCAGCACTTCGTACTTTGCAACCTAAATGCAATTCCTTACAAAAAAAAATAATTCTACCTTCTGATAGAAATCTTGAACTGAACATTATTACTCGGCAGTTCTTGATAGAAATCCCTAACCCTACCTGATATCTCTTCAGCCTCCTAATTAGTTCAGTTGATTTCCCAGAGAACATTGGCCCCAGGATAAGCTGAACCTTCCCGACACCACTGCTAGTCTCTTGGAAGCTGGGCATTTTCAAACAGAAGAGTTTCTGAAAATTTAAGTTCCGAATTATACTACTGTGTTGTATAACATTAACAAGTAATAAACCCTGAGGGTCTTAATATTGTCAAGGAACTAGCGGGGGTTTGGAAGTTTGTAGACTACAAATATCTTATCATCAATTGAAATAAAAGATTAGTTAATGCATTGTAATATGAGTAAAGATTAGCACATCAAAAGTAAGTACATTGACAATGTTAAATGTGAAATGTCTGAATTATAACAAGATTCTTAAGTTTCAGACGTTGACTCTTTTATTATCTAATTTTTTTAAGTATTTGGTGCTTTATACATTTTAATACTCGATGCAAATTATGCATATATTTTGCATTGAACATATAATTGATATATTGATATGATAACAAAAGGTTAATTGCGCATGCAAAATAGAACATATTGTAACGATCTCTTACCAACTTTTCTTTTAAATATCACATTAATACAAAAAAAATGATCACTCAATCAGTACTTCTCAAAGTTTAACTAACCTTTAATAACAAAACAAGTAAAATTATCGAAACTCTAAAATAAGTAAAATAGCGTAATTCTCAGCTGTTCCGTATTCTCTAAAAGCGCAAGCGGTTTGAACTTCAATAGTCGGTGTTTAAAAGCTGAAGGTTTGTACTGGCACGACCGATGTTTTACTCTGAAATGGCTCGCTTGCTCGTTCTTTATCAAAATGTTTTTAAAACTTCTGACAATTTATAAAAGTTTCTACGGAGCAATAGTAGTCTAGCTACTAGCCAGGGGGAGGGGTAGATTATTTTCAGGGGCGGACCACGCAATCAAGATTTTTTTAGGGGAGGGGTGAATTTAGTTGTATAAGGGTTACATTGAGGATTCCTTAATAAAGTCGTCATGTTGAATTTTGGTAAAATAAAAAATTACGAGACAAAACAATATTAATATTTTTCCTGAAGCTGTTAAATAGATAAAGTTTATTGCTAAATATATGTATCTGTTCTTACAGAACGAGTTTACAATTACAAATTGATAATTATTACAGTGTATAAACAATAATAGGTGGAAAATAGCACTTCAATAATTGATAACAAAACATTTCAATTAAAATATATTTAAGAGGAGAACTATTAAAGATCAGGGTGCAACTTAAGCAAAATAGTCTATACATTTTTTGAATTAATATATTTTAAAATAATTTTCTGACATGTCCAAAACAAATTTATCAGAACATATTTAATTTATGTTTTACATGAATAACAATTTGGTTTATAACACATTGTAATTTTTAATGTAATTTTAAAATATAGACTTTAGTAGTCATTTTTAAATATACTTTTAAGTCAAGGCAGGTTATTCCATATTTTAAGATATTTGATAGTTCAGAGATCTTTCAAAGTTTCAAAGCTTTTTAAAAATGTTTTCAAAAGAGGAAGGAAGCAGTTTATTTGTATATTTATACATGAATAAAGCTTGGTTAAAGTCTACCAGATCATTAATCTTTAGAATCTTATACTTTAGAATAATTGAGGTTCACATATGAGACATGGCTTTTGAGTTATCAATTAATCTTATTGTTTGTTTCTGTAAATATGAATTTGTTTCATTTCTGAACATTTGTTTCTGCCCCATGGGCAGAAATTTCATATTATATATAAGATTGAAAAAAGGAGTTGTTAATGGTTAGTTTAATATTACAAGGAAGAATATTTTTTATACTTGACAATGCAAAAACTGCTCCAGAGGCTTTGTTTTTTGACTGATGACGGTTACAGTTAAGATTTTTGTCTAAATGAACACCTACAAACTTTAAAAATAAATTTTAACCTCCAGTTCCAACTCTATCTATATCTTTATTATCTATGAGAAGTTTAAGAGAGGTGATATTTACAACTTCTTTTATCTTTTTAAAGAGATTATACTTGGTTTTAGACGCATTCAATGTCAGTTTGTTTGCTTTAAACCAATCTTTTATTTTAAAGAGCTCAAAATTTGCCAAATCATATAAGTCTTGAAAGTTTTTTGAAGAAAGTTGCAGTGTTGTATTATCAGCAAAAATTTTTGATGCTTTAGATTTTTTAAAGTGTTAAGAGTCAACATCCCTGATTGAATTGTTTTTTCCGTTTAAATAATTTTGAAAGCATAAGTTGGAAATCTCACAAAATCCACTGTGTTCAAGCTAGCTCAGTAGAATTGCCACATCACAGGTATCAAAAGCTTTAGTTAAATTACAATAGAGGATAAGAAGGTTATTCTATGAATGTGTTAATGTTATGAAGGAATTCGAGAGCTCTAGTTAATCGGGACTATTGGTTTGGGTAATATATACCCTCTTGGTTCAGTTCCTGGAAGAGTTCTCACCACACATTTCGAGATCACCCCCTTGTTTAGCTCAACAATGTTATTTTTCTCAAAATTATCAATTATCCCTATTTTTACAAAGAACCTATGTTATTTGTGGTAGATAAATATTACTTGGATTGACTAATTATTTCTGAAAAATTGGTCCAAATTTGTGGAATTTTCAATTTTCATTCGGGGGTTGAAGAGGATTTTTTTTTGTGTTTTAGGGTATTTTTCAATTTTTTTTAGTTGGTCACCCTGTGGTCAGCCAAATCTGGCGTAGCTGGCATATGTTAGCTGGGTGCCCAAGAAACATTAACCGACTGTATATGCCAATTGCGAAGATGTCAGACTCAGGTACCTTGCTGCCTGTACCCTACCGGCCCTGTGCTCTGTTATACCCATGCTCCCATGTGTCATGTGCCCTGTGCCCTGTGCCCTGTACCCTGTGCCAGCTGTACCCTGTCTGTGCTCGATGTACTCTACCCTGTGACCTCCTGTGTTCCCTGTACCACTACCCTGTACCCTGTACTCTGTACCCTGTATTCACTAAATTAACTTAATTAACTGCATTTTTTAAATTGTAGATTTCATTTTCTCGTTCTAAAGAAACTGCGTAGAACATTAATGAGAGTTCAGCAAAAGAATTTGTCCGCTGGGTTTTGTCCGTACCGGTTTTTCTTTATGCCTTGTTAGATAGGGCACGAGTCTGTATAGTCCCTGCATTGTCCCAGAGCAAGGCTCATATAACCGAAATTGTTTTTTACGTTGATTTCTCGTAACCCTTGACAACTTATACCTGGCAGAAATATTGCGTATAAATTTTCTGTTCATAACATTGGATGTTAAAGTGTTACATGACAAATGTTGCCTGATTTGCTGAATCTTAAATATTCTGTTCTTTTTAAATGGCAACGACGCGCGTCTGAAGTATTTTCTCGTTTAACTCAAATTCAATATCATTAGACTTTAGCATCCGATTTTTTGAGGCAGGGGAGTGAGACATTTTTTAGAAAAATTTGTAACGAGGTTTTTTGTATTTCAGAATTATTTAATTAGCAATAAATTGTAGTTTCGTTATCATATCTAGACGCTGTGAACCCCCGAGCACATCTGCCATGGTTAGAGGTACGTTGACATGGCTGCAAACCTTTCATAACTCTATCAAATATTCAATAATTCTTAACTCAGGATTATTAAAAATATAAATGATTTTGTTTTATCATGAATTTTATCCTCTAAATCGTATGCTGTATATATATCTCGCTTATATTGGGTCTGTCCTAGAGAACGGTTTTTGGACTTGCCCCACCCCCCTCCTATCTATTTTGTACATGATTATAATTGATTATTCTTTTCTAATGTTTATAGGGTTAGGTTAAATTACGACAATTTCTGGACCGAGCTCTCCGGCTAAGACATGCTAGGGGACCGAGCGTCGCGGCTAGGACTGGCTAGGGGGCCGGGCGCTGTGGCCACATGACTAATGATAACCATGTACTAAATTGATAGGAAGCGGGGGGGGAGGGTCCAATAATCGTTCTCTTGGTTATTACCCTCTTGTTCAAAGATTTATAACATGATATTTGTTTATCTATAGAAAGGGGGCATTGATCCCCTCCCACCTCTCCGTCTAGATTTTTTAAAATCCTCTGTTCAAACAGAAATTTGATAAATCGTTTATCTTTTAAGCGCAACACATGAGTAAAATTATGTTTTTAATAAATAACTCAAATTTGTGCTACCGATGTTTATGTCTCATTTTTAAGGTCGTCGTAAGGGTCGAGGAATGACTGTAACGGATCGCCAAGGATCGCAGGATAGTACTGAAGGTCCTAGGGAGAAAGAAACTAAATTAGCGGACTATTCACAGAATTCACATAATAATATCATCTTCTTCTCAAGGTATAGTCTACAGTTGGGTCATCAGGGGCATACACATGATTTTTCTAGAAGGGGGGGGGCTGTTTTCTTTCCAGGGTAGGGTTTAAGGAGCGAACCTTTCTTTTGGGCCTGAACCCCCTCTTTGAAACCTTAGGATTTTATTGGACAATAGGGGAGGGGGGGGGGGGTGAACCCTTCCCCTCTCTGTACGATTCTGTTGCATTTTCAATCAAAGAATGTGTAAAACATTTAAACATATTTAGGAACACAAATATAAAATAAGTATGAAAATTATTGATTTATTGTGTTAATGAAATGTAAAATAACATTAATAATGTGAAAGAGCATATATTTCGAAAATATCTGTTTCATTATTTTTATTCTCGAATTCTTCTTGAGAACACTGTTAAGAGAACAAATATATATTTTTATTTTATCACCAAACAGGGAGACTGGGTCTGCTGAACGTACACGAACCCAGCTCGGTGTGCTCAACACTGCCACAACCTCTCTAGAATATATTACAAGGAATTGAAATCAACATTTTATTCTGTTACCCCCTTGTCAAGTATTCTGTTACCCCCTTGTCAAGTTTTCTGTTACGCACTTGTCAAGTTTTCTGTTACCCCCTTGTCAAGTTTTCTGTTACCCCCTTGTCAAGTTTTTTGTTACCCCCATGTCAAGTATTCTGTTACCCCCTTGTCAAGTATTCAGTTACCTCCTTGTCAAGTTCTCTGTTATCCCCTTGTCAAGTATTCTGTTACCCCCTTGTCAAGTTTTCTGTTACCCCCATGTCAAGTTTTCTGTTACCCCCTTGTCAAGTATTCTGTTACCCCCTTGTCAAGTATTCTGTTACCCCCTTGTCAAGTTTTCCAGTTTTTTTTTTCTTAAAGACGTAATATAAGTTTTTGAAATTCATTTCAACTCTGGCAATCGTGGATTTTTTTGCTTTATAATGTTTGATTTGTTGGAGTAGGTCTGGCTGCAACTCCCCTACCATGCCCATGTTGTCCCCTGAGATGCCCCTGGACGATCTTCATGCTCAAGGGGGGGGTGGTCCTCCAGTACTCTCTCAATATGGAGAAGAGGATCGCAGTGATCAGGCTAGCGAGCGATCAGAAGGTTAGATATGTAGATTGCATGCTGAAATATATGATGATGACAAAGTGGAAATTAGTAGAAGGGATACTAAATGAAAATAAATAACAATATGGGGAGGGGGACCGGAATTTTCAGCAAAATATAGAGATCGATACAGTGATAACCAGAAAACTCGAATAAAGGAAGACTGTTTTATCAATATATTGTATTTAATGCTGCTACAACGCAAATATCTTTACTAGACCCATGCTCATTAGATTATTTAACTTGAGTCTAAAAGTCGTCTTCCTATTGCATAGTTTTCTGGTTCTGGTTATGAACTATATAAACCCTATCTTAAAATCTAATGTCACCTTAAAAGATTTCCCTTGTATTACAGGAGACTCTGGAAAGGAAAATGACGAGGATATCAGCATCTCCTGGCGTGGGAGTAGGAGCAGCATCGCGAGCAAAGCAAGTCGATCCTCGCGTCCCCGGTCAGGGCTCTTCAACCAATTTAACAGTAATAATATTCTGGCGAGCAAGCCTGTTCTAGGAGAAACAAACAAGTCCCTGAATACCGAAGCAACTAAATCAGTTCTCAGTGAGACAAATAAACAAACCCCTGCCGAAGTTAATGTGCCAGGTAGTTTATATTATGATTATGACTTCCTATTGATACAAATGTAACTGAGTGCATGCTTTCAAGATTGCATGCTTTATGCTTACATGCTTACATGCTTACATGCTTACATGTTTATTGCTTACATGCTTACATGCTTACATGCTAACATTCTGATATGCTTACATGCTTACATGCTGATATGCTTACATACTGAAATGCTTACATATTGACATGCTTACATGCTAACATGCTAACATGCTAACATGCTTACATGCTTACATGCTTACATGCTTATATGCTTACATGCTTACATGCTTACATGCTTACATGCTTACATGCTTACATGCTTACATGCTTACATGCTTACATGCTTACATGCTTACATGCTTACATGCTTACATGCTGACATGCTTACATTCTGAATTCTGATATGCTTACATACTGACATCCTTACATGCTTACATGCTGATATGCTTACATACTGACATGCTTACATACTGACATGCTTACATGTTTACATGCGTACATGCTTACATGTTTACATGCTTACATGCGTACATGCCTAAATTTTGCAGTATAATTAGTTTGTCGATTGGTGTCCATATCACAATAAAATTGACTGCGGATGTTATTTCCACAGTTTTATAAATATAGTTTTTTAATTTTAAAGAGAAAAAACATAAAAAAAAATTTCAATTAAATTTACGAAAATCGTTCAGCAAGATGCAGACCTTGTTTTTGGAAAAGTTGTAAGATCATAACAGTTAGATTTTATACTTCATGTTTTCAGGACCTGTAACTCGTAGCTCACAATTATTCAAACCTGTTCAAAATACTGAGTCGATTGAAGCAGTGAATAGTTCTATCTCTGGGAGCAGTCCCTTGTCCGAAGCAGGGATTAGTTCTGTACCCGCTTTAGATTTGGCGGTTACTAGACGAGCTCCAGAGTCTCCAATCAAGGTTTTTTTTGAATAAAATTATTTTTAATTTTCTTCTCTTTTGGCCCTAAGTTGTCAAAAGATCCAAAAGATTCTAGTATTTTTTTTCTTTTAGTTTCTGGTCGCCCTATATCTGAATATTTATATTTTGCAGTCTGGTTTAAAATCAATGCCACAATCTCCGATGTCTCCGCACAAAATCCAGATACCTGATCGTACTTCATTTGTGGATAAATTCAAGCATGCCATCTCACCTAAAACTCTTTCTAAGAAAACAAAGAGTCAATCTCTAAGGTAAAGTAAATTAATGCATAAAAAGACGAGTTTCTTTGTGATTTTGGACAATTTTCCAATGTTCGGCAAAATATCGAAAAGATGACTTGGCAATAGAAACATAGCTCTTAATGGTTCGGAAGAAGTCAATTTGAATTATGAAACTAAATGGTTGACTAAGTTTCATAAATACTAAGACCAATTTTTGTGATTATGGGTAATTTTCTTAATGCTAAATTTTTCAGTTCCGTTTGTTATCCCATATTAATTTTTTCATATCTTCTAGCTAGCAAAGGTTAGTTTTCAAAACTGCAAAATGTTGTAAAGATGACTTGCCAAAATGATCATAACTCTATACCACCATTCAGAATTTGAAAAATTTAAATTCAATTTTGAAACAAAGATGAATGACAAAGTTTGTATGGCGCGTCAAATCTAAAATTTGTTTGCTGTGTCCAGGAAGGTTGGTGGAGTGAAGAGCAGTAGGAAACAGGAGAAGCTTGTAGAAGCAGCAGAGGGAACCAGGCAGATCACAGACTTTTTCCCTATCAGGTAATAAACAGACTTACTTGAGGTTTATATTTCGGAACTCGAGTCAATAACTAAAATTATTTTTTACTTATCACATTAAAGAGATATAAAGTAGAATATGTCTCAAAGTCTTAAATTTTATTTAAAATTTTCGGTTTTTATTTCGATTTTATTTAATCTCATCTGATCTGATCTTATTCGCTTCGATTAAGGCGATCTGAGAGAAAGAGTAAAAGTGAGCTAGAAAAGGAGAAGATGGAGGGTATTGAGGCCCGTCTCCTGGCTACTGAGGATACAGGCCTCGACCTCGAAGTTCGAGAGATTGATATGAAAGGACGAGGTGTTGTGGTGAGTACACACTTTTAAGAACTTTTAAGAAACAATTTAACATAAAATATTTGAAAGAGTTGAAAGTGTTGTAAGTGGTGATGATAAACTGCGTTAAACTAAATTAATTATAAGAATAGTAAAAAGTATTTTTAATATTTTACTCAAAAAATCTGTTTTTGATGTAAATAAGCAATGTTTATTATTGAAATTACTTAAAGGCTTTAAGCGTAATATTTAAGTAACACTCAATGCTAATGTCAACGTTTGATTTACAACGGTACCCTTAAAAGCTTTGTCTGATCAAGGTTGAATTAAATATGAATATTTTTGGTTATTTAATTTTTTTTTTATATGCGATTTCTCTGCAAAGGTGACTTGCGCATTTCTTGCTTTTAATAAACAGTTGAGAAATTGACAGAATTCATCACTTTTAGAGTCAGGAAAACGATATTATCTTCCACATTTTTGATCAGATCAAGGTTTCAACTACGCATAATTTTAGACGCTCCGTAGCTACGAGAAGGGAGAGTTTGTTCTGGAGTATGCCGGGGAGTTAATAGACCGAGGATCTGCTAAAGACAGGGAGACCCAGTACTCCCTTGACACTACCAAAGGCAGGATGCGGTGTATTTATGGAACTTGATGCTCTCACAGAATAGATTTTAACTTGATTAAAACACAAATGCGAGGTTGAAAAAAAGACTTTTCACCTCTCATGCTTCATTTTTATGTTTCAGTGATAACCGGAAAATTCTGAAATAGAAAGACGACTTTTAGAATCAAGTTAAAAATTTAAAAAGTTCAATGAGCATTAGCAGTAATTGTACAGTGTAAACAGACCCATTTTACGAAATTAATGTTTTTAAGTGTCTAGTAAACTATTTGCCTTGTAACAACATCAATTGCGCGTTAGTATTTTTGCAATGGCGTCTTTTTTTATACTTGTTATGACTTTTTAAAACTTAATGCTAACACTGAATTCTTGAACAGGATGTTATATGTACTACTTCACACACAGGAATAAACAATACTGGTAAGCAATTTTTCATTTAACATAATATATACCATTAAATCAATTGAAAACGCCCTTACTAAAACTATGCTGAAATTCTTGGTTTTATGTCGGTCAATTTTTTTAGATTTCAACTTGAGTTGTTACTAGTGCTTTATAAGTTTCTCTGTGCTTCACAGATATTTTTCATGCTTAATTTCTAAATATCATCGTTTTTTCATTCTTCGCAATATCCCAATAAATAATTTATGATTGAGAACAAACATGTGAAAATCGTTCACACCTATGACGTCCCCACTACAAATAGACATTTAAGTTGAAAATTATTCGTTATGCTACACAACTCATCAGATTTAAATGTACGCTCAACAAAAATTTTATATAATATGCTAATATTTAAATATAAAAAAGTGTACTGTGCAATTAAGATATTTTTTTGCAATATTTTTTTAGTATTGACGCGACCCAAGAGACCGGTAGGTTCGGCCGGCTCGTAAATCACAGCTGCAAGGCTCCCAACTGTGTACCAAAGGTAGAAATATAAAAAAACAGGGCTGTTCATTTTCTTGGAAAATTATATTTTCCTCTAGAAGTTAGGTCTGTTTGCACTGAGCGGGATTTTTTTGTACATGGCTTTATTCGATAGTTGGGGGAAATAATTAATTTATGGGGGAAAAATAATAAAAAATTTTCTTCCCGCTTACCAAATTATAAATTGCGTAGTTCTTGTATCTATATACCCAAGAGAAAAAAAGATAGCAATTTTCATGTCTGAGGATAACATCACTTCAAATAGTTTTTATCTAAGAATGAATATTCAAACGAAACAGTTCTGTAAAATTTAAAATGTAATTGTTCCCTTCGCCTTTGTCAGTATTCTTTTTCCAGATCACCAAAATCTGGTTTTTAAAAACCAAAGATGTAGAGAGTTTAATTATTTTGCAGATCACCAAAATCTGGTTTTACACAAACCAAAGATGTAGAGAGTTTAATTATTTTGGTTTTTACACAAACCAAAGATGTAGAGAGTTTAATTATTTTTTTATTTTTTTACTCCAAATTTGATTACCCTGAAACGTTCTGAGAGAAGTCTGCTACTCTTCTGAAATTAGAATTCTGTGTAGAAAGCTAAAAATAGATAATCATTAATTTTCATGATGTTTATTAAAGACTGTTCAAATAGAAATTTAATAAACTGTTCATTGAAATAAAGATTTTATTTTTTTTTTTTAAATACATTTTTTCTATCCAGGTGTTCACCTTAAATGACGAGCCTAGAGTGATCCTTGTCGCTAGGCATGATATTGAGAAAGATACTGAACTATTATATGATTACGGAGACAGGTGGGTTTGGTTCGGTTGGGTTGGGTTGGGGTTGGTTCGGTTTTGTTCGTTTTGGTTCGGTTTAGTTCGGTTTGGTTTGGTTTGGTTCGGTAGTTATTGCTACATTCTTTTCGGTTTTCAAGTTGGGCCACATTTTCGTTTTTAATAGTTTTAAGGTCCTTCAGTAAAAAATTGTATCGCAAATCCCTATGTTTTAAAAGATTTTTCGCTGAATTTGGGAAAAGTAATGATTTTTTTTTGGTAAAAATATGAAAAAATCAGTGAAAACTTAATTATCTTTTAATAACATTTAATGCATATATATTTTTCAGGTGTAAGGAGAGCTTAAAAAACCATCCTTGGTTGATGCTTTGAACTGTGTCCACCCCCTCCCCCCTCCTCACTGCCAGCATTCACTGAAGAACCCGGATGTTTTCTCTTAAAACAGAATACAACGATAGTTGTATTATGTACCATGTACATTGTACATATATTTATAAGTGAATCGACAATGCAGACGTGCAGAAAGCATGATAAGATTTTAATAATGTGTAATCCGTCTGTTGTCTTGATCATCGCCATATTAAATGATTTTACGAGAGCAATAGAAATTGAGCAGCATATTTAAATTATATAAATATTAACGTTTTCATTTCTTGACATCTACAAAATAATTCCTATTGGGAATTTTGTATTAAATATTTTCATTATTTTATTTTAAAAATGAAATTAAGAAATGTTTGTTCGAATGTTAGCAATACTAAACCGTGCACTTGCTCCGCAATTTTTTTTATTTAAAATTCTGGTGACCATTAAGTTTTTCGTACAAAAATATCTTATAGCGGCATTATTTTTTGGGGTTATTTCATTCATAAAACCCCAAGTATTGAATTCAGAAATGATTCTCCAAAATAACATTGGTCGATAATCGATAACATTTTTCAATCTTAATTCTCCATTTTATGTAAATTGATTTTCTTATACTTGATCTCTTTTAATTGAGGCAGAACCCCTCAGTTTATTGTTTTGATGCTAGACGTAAGCATTACAGATCTCCTTAATGGACAAGTTGTACACTTTAACTTCATAGATATGTATTTTAGTTATTTTGAATTTTCTTTGTTGAAAATCTGCAGGTTTACGTTATATTTTAGTTTTAATATTAACTTTTTCCCTTATAATATTTTTCATACACCTAATCAAAACTAATGTATAGTTCATTGTAACTAATATATGAACTTCGTGTCTGGTGCCTTTGCCCAGGCAAAAATACCGTCAGTATTGTAAAAAGAAAATTATTTATAATCATCTTTTAATTTGCTTTAAACTTGAAGAAATTCAATCTTTTCTAGAAAAATTGTAAGTTCAGAGCTTGTAGACTATTTCGATGCTGTGTGCCTATAATTGAAAATCTTCATCCATTTAATTTAGAATATTTATTTATTTTTTTAGCAAACTAACTTGTGTTATTCGCGATTTTTGGTAAGAAGTATAATCTACATCACATCCCCCCGCCTCCCCCCCCCTGACTTATTTGAGACCATATTTATACTTCAACTTCAGTTCAACCTAAAACAACTCTGATGAAGAGTTCAACTCGTAATTCTTTCTGTAAACTTCGTAAATTTTCTACTATTCAGCTGGCGTAAATTCGAAAACTCGATAACGCAAGTTTTAGCTTTTCTGAAACTTTTTCACAATTGTTGTTTACTTTTCATATCAATATTTGAAAACACTAGATCTTTTGTAAACATTAACTCAAGAAACTGCTGGTTTATGTTTATTTGCTTAGTTTGTATTTTGTTCAACTAAATGTATATTTAGTATTAAACTCCTGATTGTGAAACATCAAACTATAAATGTAAAAACTAAGTTCCAAAACTATTTTATAAATAGAAACATTTTTGATATGTTTTTTTTTTCTGAGATGGCAGAGCTAAAGATGTTGATTTAGATGGGTTTAACTGATTCAGGACATCTGAAACCAGATTTGATGACATGATTGAACCGGGTCTACGTGGTTCAACCACTTTTCTTTAGCTTGAACCGGCGTATCGGCGGTTTAGCTGCTTCTCGCTATTCATTTAATAATTATTCCTTGTTGGTAATTGGTTGAGTTGGACATATCGAGAGAGAAAAAGATACAGGAGTAACCAAAAAAGTATTCTGTCTTCAGTTTTTATCCTGAACAGTTACTTATTTTGTTTATATTTTGAAATTGATTGAAAATGCGTGGTGAAGATGTGAAGATATATATATATATATATATAATCAGCTATTGCAAATAAAAAAGCAGTTATTACACTTTCTTGGTGATATTTCTTAATTGAAAACAATCATTCCACAGTTACTTTGACTATTGCCAAGATTCGGGCATTGTTATTACCCTTTTTTTTGACACTCAAGGATTTTTGGCTTCAAGGAGGCGTAAAGTCTTAAATAATTCAAATTTTCTTCTCAAAATGCAGAATAGGCTAATAGATAGATACTCGGAGATAACAACTAATTAAAACCATACAAAATTATGAACTAGGTTACATAACATGATATTATTAGAACGAATAAAAAATTTGATCCTTTATCATAAAAGAAAGAACCAAGGAGTATGAAATAGAAGGGAGATACAACTGACGCGGCCCGCCCTATACCATATGATTAGATATGGTACTCCATTTGGATAAGAAATATTCAGAATAGGTTATTTTATACACGGTAATTGTCCATCAGACAAATATTTCTTATACAAATGGAGTACCGTCTGCAAAGAATGTATAATCATATGGTAGGGCGGGCCGCGTCAATTGTATCTTCCTTCTATTTCATACTCGAAAAAAGAAAAATAGAAGTGAATCAGTTTTTTTCTTATGAACAAATTTTACTTTTGCACACACGTTTATATACTCTCTAATTGTAGAGTAATATAAAATAATTAATTAAAGGCAAAAGTTTACTTTTCTTGCACAAAGTTATAATCACTTCTCATTGCATTTTGCAAAATGCACTTTCAAAACGGGTCCAGCAATTAAAAATATATAAATTTAATAAGTAGATATTGTAGGTAGGTAATTCATGCAACATGCATTACTATTATCATGGATAATGTTTCATTTTACTTGTACTGCACCTGTATCTATTTATTATATATTAATTGACTGTTTTTAGAATATAGCATATTCTTTTACTGAATCGCACACCAAAATGAGAGATTTTATTTAAGCAATGATTTTTTCTTGGTGCCAAAAGTAAAACTGTTTTTGAGTAGATTATCGTCAGCAAGTATATACTTAAATATATTTATAAAGAGTAAATTGCGAAAAACCGCATTTATTACCATGGGATGTTCAACATCAGTACGAGGGGGGCCAAGCCCCCCCCCCTTCGCGTGCCCACCATGGGGGGGGCTCTTTCAATAATACATTGCTTGCATTTCCCTTCCTCAGGCAATCATACATTCTACATTGCATTGCATTGCACTGACCCAAACTAAAAGATAAAGAAAGAAATAAAATATATTCTGATTCACAACAATACCCTTCAATGCCTGATCAAGTATTGCATTAAATATCCATGTTTTCCATTTTGAAAACTGATTATTTTTATTTGTGCTTTCTCTACAAAAGTGACTCGCGCATTTCTTGCTTCAGAATCAGAAACGATGGAAATGAAGGTGTCAATGGTACATCGGACATCTATCGGTCACTCTATAAATGGAGGGTCACTTGAAAGTACGCATGTATTCCATTCAAGTATAATTACATCGTATAGAAAAATACTTTTAATCTCACTTTTGCCCTTAACTAAAAAGGTTTCATTAAAAAAGCTTTAGTCAATACTGCATTCAGTGTAAATATATATATTTGATATCATAATTTATAAAACAATATGTAATATGTATCGATCCTAAGAAAATAAAGATATTTTCTTAGAAACGTTTCCATCTATATTTTTCATCCCTTGCAGCTTACACCACAGTATTAAGAGGGACTGTCTGATGAGTCCACTTAAGAAAATTACATAAATAATGTGTACTTAAACGTTACGTCCAAATGTTCGGAATTTAAGGCGGGGTGGGGNGGGGGGGGGGGGGGGGGGTTACATGATATTTTTGCGCAATGCTATCGTTATGCCTCCGCTAGATTTGCATATCAAGAATTGCAATGGGATGCGACGAATTTAGGTCGTCGTGCGAGGAAGAATATTTAGGTTTCTAGAAAAACTCAAGACCTAAAATTACCAATTAGTCGAATTTCGGAATTAATATTAGCTCTAAAGGGGGGGGGGGAAGGAATTCTGCGAGTTCTTCATATGCTATTCTTTATAATGGTAAGAATATATATTTCATAACTCCAAATTTGATTTGTTGCATTGGTCGTCTTAATTTATTTGAAATTCAAGTATTAAACTGCAGTATAAATAAAAATCCACTCTTTCATCGTTTTGAAACAAAATACAGAATATATACCAGCTGGTTTGGACATTTGTTTTCCATTTCTATGTTTGTAAACCGTTAAGAACTAATTCCTTTCTTCCAATGACTCTATTAAAATGGTTATGTCGTCTTCGTAAATTAGATAAACATTTATTTATGCATTGTGTTATACATAAAATCGGCTGACCGAAAGAAATAATAATAATTTTGAAATTTAAATTAACATATATTAATTTCATAAATTATTAAAAAATAGTCGGTTTTCATAAGTTGTATGTAGTACTGCGCTCCCGTCTCTAAACCAGTCTCGACTCTAGAACCGCAAAATGCCAAGACCAAAAAGATCGGTAAATTTTCAAATTCAATTTTTACACTAAGTACACACTTTTGACCCAATCTTTACCCAGCGTTACAATCAGCAAACTTTTTTCTTTCAATTGATATATTTTTTGGATTGTAATTAAAATTAGTTTCGTAGATATGGAGTTGTTCAAAACCATTTTTGAGGAATGGGTGATCGTTTTTCAACACGTTATTCTAAATTAATCACACCAAAACATTTCGGTATGAAATGGGATTCTTGTGAAATACATCGATCTTGTTAGGTGACTAAAAAGGCCAAGAAGTACGACGAGGATGAGGATTTTGAGGACTCCGAGGATGCAGAGTCTGATATCACAGAATCTGATTTCGAGGATCCCGACGAAATGGAGGTTAGAACCATTAGTTTTTCTAGGATCATCATTTCTTTCTTCTCCTTTACTAACTGCTCTTGGGTAACTAATTTAGTTGTAAATTGGGGTTTACGAAGTTCTTATAACCCATACTGTTCTTTAGGTGTTTTTGTATCCCTTTATACCTCTTAACTATATTTGTTTATGCTCTAAACAAATCCTATAATTTTCCTCTCCGAAAGAAGATGGACGATTTCATTTTTAACTTCCAACTCGTACTTATATACAAATAAGTTTTATGTTTTTTTCTTTTTTATTAATTGGAGTTAATAAACATGGAAATAGAGTTTTCAATATTATCACGCCTCATTGGGGTTTAAACTGCTGAAAAGGCGCTTATTGGGTGAATGTTAAAGTAAAATACAAGTTTAATACTTCGCCTCACGATTTCAAGGGAAGAAACATCCAAACCGTGATTTGTCCCAAACCTGATACTCAGTGTCAGGTTTGGCCCAAATGTGCAATTTAGAAGATAAAAATATTTCAGTTATTCATGCTATTCTGTAAATTATTAAAGTACGTTTTGTTCTGAATTGTTGTATATTTTCAAATTTTGATTGTTACAAAATTTGGTTTACGTTCCAAAACCCGTCCAAGATTCGATTCCGTGATATGTACGAAAATGGAAAACCTTGGATTGTTCTAAAAAATGGTTGGTTCTGTCCTAGAGAAAGATTTTCGGACCCCGCCCCCCTCCTTCCTCCCCCCCTCCCTCCTATCAATTTTGTACATGACCACTTATTTTTCAGCAAATTTATTATTATTTATTTTTTCATTGTTTAGGGTTAGGTTAGGTTAAGACACTTTCTGGGCCGAGCGCTCCGGCTAGGATAGACTAGGAGGCCGAGCGCTTCGGCCACTTGTCTTACATTTAAGATCCTCTTTCATTTAATATCCATGTACAAAACTGATAGGAGGGGGGAGGGCCAAAAATCGCTTTCAATGAAATTACCAAATGGTATGGGTTTTAATTGAAAATGAATCATCACACACAGTTTAGATTTTAGAATCCTATCAATTTTCATGGATCTCATGTTTATCACATGGATAAAATTGGCCTGTCTTAGCCGCGGCTCTCGGCACCCTAGCCTGTCCTAGCTGCAGCTCGGCCCAGAAATTGTCTTAACCCTGAAGTAATAAAAAATAATTTTTATGATAAATGATTTTTTATATTTCAATTTTCATGACTCGTATATAGGTGATCAGTAGCAGTAATGGATCTAATTTCTCCCAGTTTGCTAAAGGAAGACCAGGGATGTCAATATCGTCAGGTAAAGACATTTTTTTATTCAGTTATTTGTCGCCAAATATAAAGCACGAAGAACTGAAAGTTCGCTTCTCTCATCTAGAGACCGTTTTAAATGTTGTTTTTAAGCGGCCATTTTTCCTCGTAATTGTTAAAATTCCCTTTTCAATTTTTTTTTAATAACATTAAAAGATTTCTTATATTTTTAAACATCCACATTTTTCCGACAAATTTGTTCACAGAAAAACAAGCCAAATATGGAATAATGTTTGGTCGAAAATGATTAAAAAATAAAATCTATAAACCATAAATAGATTGAAATTTATAAAATGCGCAAATGCATGACGAGGATAATTCAACAATTTAAATTTGATAAAAAATATTATTTAAGTAAGCCAATTTTTTAAAATAAATTATCTATAAGATTCAACCATTATTGGGACTAATTCTAAGAGATAAAAACAACATGATCAAACTAACAGGAATTGAATTGATTCATGAAATGATTCCTGAAGCCATGTTTACATAAGTTTCTGGTTAAACATTGTTTATGTTTTTACCAGAAACTGCAGTACATAAATTTGTAAGAAGATATGAGCTTTCCTCTCATATTCCTTGATTCAAACTTATATTTAGTTCCCGGGCAAGGACTCCTGAAGACAAAACAGAACGAGGATCCAGGGTTTGAAATCATCAAAGAGGTTCAAGGATCTGGTAAACCCTACAGCAGTATGTACAACAATCCCTCTCTCTCAGCACTCGCTACGCTCATGGGGACTGGAGCAGGGCCGCACTCAGGACTCGGAGGAGCAGGGGGGCTCTTGAATCAGAACTTTCTACAGAAATGTAAGCTTTATTTATAATTTATATACATTATGACATTATAACTTAATGTTCCAAGAAGAATAATAAAGCCATATTTTTTATCTGACAGACTCAATGGATTGGATGCGCGGTAAGATTTGTTAAATCTTTGTTTCCATTTTGTTGTCAGGTTTTGGTTTAATTTTTTTGTTTGGGACAACTAAAAAACATTTTATGTGCATTAAAATAAAGACAGTTTTTCGTCAAAGTTAGCCCCCCCCCCTTCCTTTTTAGTTTAAACATTTTTTTATATGTGCTAAATATTTAATTTCAAAATTTTATATAAAAAATTGGCAAGTTTTAACTCCATTTTTGAATATGCATGTTTTTGATTTTTCAATTACAAAAATAACAAAAGTAACAAATCCCAGATAAATTTGTTGAACCCCAGCAACCTAAACCCTGCAATCTGCATCCACCTACCCAACCTCTAATTTCTTTTAGTTTTTACACTCAATTTGTATTCACTTCAGTCCTGTGTTACGGTCGTGTCACAAATAAATGTCAGTTCCCAGTTGTATACAGTAAACTATAGAATAGGAAGACGGTATTAAAGCAAAAATTAATTTTATTTGATAGTGTTACAAAGCAAATAGTGTTACTAGTAACGTATTTATTTACTTTTTAAGTTAATTGGGTCTGTTTACACTGCTGGTGTTTATGTTCATTGGACTATTGAAGGTCATAACATGAGTTTTAAAGTTGTCTTCCTATTCCACAGTTTTACGGTTATCACTGTAAGTATCGTAGTTATTTTAATGTTTGTTTGTTCCCATTTAAATACATTATTTTCCTCCTTTATATGTTGCTTCATCCCTTTATATTTCATAATAATTATCTCCTATATTATATATATGTACTTCGTAGTCTCGTCCCAGGCTTATATTATAATACACTTAACAATAATTAGATTAGATGTTGTTTTCACTCAGAATTTTCTCACTATCTTTAATTCAAAAGGAATCCTTTTTTCGCTTAATTTTTTCGTTCTTTTAAAAGCCAATAATTTCAAATTATATGTCTCCGATTCTAACTTTTCAAACATATAGATCTTTTTTTTTCTTCAATAATAATGTTTTGATTGTTCAGCACTTGAGAACGGTAGTATGAACAGTGGAATGTTAAACCCATTCCTGATGGGGAATATGGGTGGTATGAGTGGGATGAACGCCTTTAGTGGTTTACCTGGCATGGGAATACCGCAAATGAACGCCAGCATGCTGTCTAACCTGTACATGCAGGGCGGGGTCCCTAGGTTCCAGGGCAGGATGATGGACCAGGTGAGATAATTTCAAATTTAGATAGATTTAGAATTGTCATCTTGATAATATCAAGCTAAGGTGAGCACTGAGCTCCATTAAACTATGGAATAGGGGTACGATTGTTGACTAAACCTATGATTTTTATCGGCCAAGGAACATGAAATATATTAATTGTACCAACACAGACACATTTTACTTGACTTTCAAGCTATTTGTAAAACCATTTGCGGTATAATAACATGAAAAAACCAGTTGTCATACATGACGATTTACTATAATAAAGATTGAGGAATTACACTTAAATCCATTTAAACCCTTAAATCCTCAGAAATAAGTTGGACTATTTTGAAACCCTTGATTTTTGTATATCAACCTAAATTAAATGGGATTTTGCGAACCAGTACATTCAAAAGCTCTGTTAGGGACAATTAAAGGCAAATAATGTGAAATTTCAGATTGATGAAAATATACTAGAAATATTTTTTCTCTGTTAATTACATTAATCTTGATAAAATATTAAACGTATCTATTGTATGCGTCGGGACATACTGCGCAGTATATGTCTACCATAATGTGAAAAATATGCACTGTACATTTCTGCAATGTGCAAAGTGTGAAATATTCCACAGTACATCTCTGTCATAGTGTTGGTAATATTTCAGCTTGGTTACCCTAGTTTGACCAGACCGTCAGCTAGTAAAGGGGAACAGGTAACCCTACGCTGTTCACCTATGCCAGGGTTCCTCCTAAATCTAGGCTATTATGATCAGTCAATTTCTCGTAGTCTACTAATTCGGAGGAAATCTGCTAATGTTAAACTAGACCTAACAATCTGTCAATTAAAAGCTTGGAGGAACCCTGTTCAATGCAATTGGGTCTCTGTGTGTTTAACTACTAATAGTTAGAACTAAGGAAAGTGGGATAGACTTAATTTACTTTTTACTGTGACGTTTAGGACAGGTGTTGAATTAGATCTGTTTCTAACCATAACATAGATTTAAGCAATTTTGTTAAGTTTCCAAGTTGTACAAAGAATACCTGTCCACTGCTTAGTTCTAAATGTCCTTGTGTTAATGTGCTTTGTTTACTGCTTGGTGTATATATATTTATTTTACAATAAATTCAATTGTTATTGTGAAGAACATATATTATAGACCCTATCCCGCCATAATACCGTTTTAGTTTTAGCCAATAACATGGTTGCTTAATATTTTTTACACCAAATGCCATGCCCATATCGTTAAAGAAGCTTTAGCTATATACCTTGCTTAATTAAGACTACCATCCGAATGTTTTTTTTGTTATATTTTTGGCAGTTTTTTTTGGCGTAGTAAATTTTTTGTTAAAATTATAAATAATTTTGTTTTAATTAGGCTCTAACAATAAACCCTTTAATTTTCTTTTCAACAATTTTCCTAGAATTTCCTTGAAGAAAATCTGAGGAATTGAATTTTTACCGTTGTTATCAATCTTTTTTAATACGTTTTGTGATTCAGCTCAAATCTTGAAAGGGAGGGGGACAATTAGGTCCAAAAGTGAGGCATGGCTCAAATTTGGTCGTGTGGCAAGGAACTTCGCGCTTTACAAACAACTGTTGATGGGATATTTTAAAAATAGGAAGAAGTCCAGACTGAAAAACCAGGACACGGAAAGGACTTGAACCTCCAATCCATTACTGGAGTCCATTGTCATCCCCGCCCTTTGTGATTTGATTTGATGAAAGCAAATGTGTTGTTATACGAAGAAAACCTCAAAAGAAAGATTCATTCCTGTTTCAAAAAATGTATTTTTAATCCCAAAAGTATTACCATGCTTTTAATAAAAGATTGGGGTAAGTATCAATGTAAAATTTAAAAAAAAGAATAACATCTGTTTGAATGTTGTACCAAGCTTGCTTATGGTAGAACCCCATTAAAACAATAATGTTCATATCTTCTTGTACCTTGTTTAAAGTTTTCAAGACCATGATATTAAACAATGAACATTTTAAGTGTAAAATTTCTGTAAAGGTTTCAAGAGAAAAATATATTGTCCTTGGAAAATATTTAATATAAATGATTTTTGAAGCTTAAAATTAGTATTTTCCAAGGTTTTTTTAGAAAAAAGGAGATGAACACTGCACTGGGTACGAAACCAAACCAAGAAAATTTATAAATCAAAATTCGTCCAATTTGTAGGAGGACGAGGAGGTGGCCGCCGAGGATGAAGAGGATATGGGTGTGATTGAGACCTACAGTAATTATAAACCAACGAAACTAAATGTCGGGTTGGACCATCCTGATCCTGTAGTAGAAACTGCTAGTTTAGCCAGTGTAGAACCTGCAGATGTCTGGTAATAATAATAATGTCATCTTTTTTTTTTCAATTTTGAACATTTTCTCTTTGTATACATTGTAAGACAAAACATTTTTTTTTTTAAATCGTGGATTTTGTTGGAGGCAAATTTTTGAAATTTTGATTATTCATAAACCTTTCCTTGCTTCATGTGAGGTCCCACACAAAATTTGGGCCCTATCGGTTCAGCTGTTTTGACGTTTATTAGATACAAACAGACAGACAAGCAAAGTATATATATAGATGATAATCTTGATGGTAATGATAATCAATTATCTTAATTTTTAAAGTTTAAAAAGGATGTTAAATGTTTAATGATTATCTTGAAGAATCCTAATCTTGGTGATGAAAACATCTTGTATAAAAAGATTTTCAAAATTTTTTTTTTTTTTTTAATAGGTTTTTGAATCAGTTCAATTATTGGATTGAGAACTAAATACTTAAATAATTATCTTGTCGCTCGTTATGGAAGATGTTTGATTGATATAAAAACATTTTATATTTGTTTTGGAAACTGTTTAGGAAACATTCAGGGTGGGCTAGATGTACGGATTGTACGGATTTTATTTTTTTAGTCTTAAAATTGTACGGATTGTACAGATTTTTAGTCAAAAAGAAGTTGGTTCAACTTGTTTTCTGCATTCTAAATAATATTAGGTTGGTTGATTGTTGTTCCAATTGACAATTATAATTCATTCATAGTTTTTCGAGAACATGATTTTTGCTATATAATGAGTTTTCTAAAAGGTTTAAACGAACACACCCATCCCAATGAAGAGAAGTAAAAGACTAAATGCCATAATTATAGATTTTTAGAATTTAATTGTGTATTTATCCTGTCTCTCCTCTCTTTCTCATCCTAATTTACTAGTTTCTCTTCTCATTCTCATCCTAATTTACTTATTTCTTCTCTCATGCTTATCCTTATTTACTTGTTTCTCCTTTCATGCTCATCCTAAATTACTTGTTTCTCCTCTCATTCTCATCCTAATTTACTTGTATCTCCTCTAATTCTCATCCTAATTTACTTGTTCATTCTCATCCTAATTTACTTGTTTTTCCTCTCATTATCATCCTAATTTACTTGTTTCTCTTCTCCTTCTCATCCGAATTTACTTCTTGCTCCTCTCATGCTCATTCTAATTTACTTGTTTCTTCTCTCATTCTCATCTTAATTTACTTGTTTCTCCTCTTATTCTCATCCTAATTTACTTGTTTCTCCTCTTATTCTCATCCTAATTTACTTGTTTCTCCTCTTATTCTCATCCTAATTTACTTGTTTCTTCTCTTATTATCATCTGAATTTACTTGTTTCTCCTCTCATTCTCATCCTAATTTATTTGTTTTTATCATCCTAATTTACTTGTTTCTCCTCTCATTCTCATCCTAATTTACTTGTATAAATATGTATTAAGGTACTTTTTTACAGATAGATCAAAAAGCAAGGTAATGACTTCTCCAGCTGAAGAAGTTTAACCCCTTCACACATGAACAATTCAATTTTGATGTGCGTTTTTTTCAAAAATGGTTACATTTTTCTTCAATGTACGGTTTGTACGGATTTTTTTAAAAAATTGGAAGAATTGTACGGATTTTTTGCAAAAAAAATGTACGGATTTTACGGATTTGTTCTGAAAATGTACGGAACTTTGTTCGGATTTTTTCAAAAAGTTTTGGCCACCCTGAACATTTCGTATAAATATTTTGTTCAGGTACACCATGTCTATACCAGAGGAATGTATTCAAAACAGAAAACTATCTGCGCTACAGCTTGAGAGCATAGGTCAGTTGATATATAGCTTGAGAGCATAGGTCAGTTGATAAATACCCTGAAAACATAAATCAGGCGATGATTTCCTGGAAAACATAGGTCAGTTAATAAATACATGGAAAACATAGGTCAGTTAATAAATACCTTGACGGTACACGAGCAGGGTTTCTGATTGTATTTTACTAACTATATATTTTTGTACAGTGTACGCTAGTCAGCAGCATGAACAGTTTCTACCTGACGGTACACGGGCAGGGTTTCTTATCGGAGATGGTGCTGGAGTAGGAAAGGGTAGAACGATTGCAGGTAAAAAAAAAAATACAAATTGAATTGTTAAGAGATGGTTTCATTGTTATTATTGGATTTCGAGGAAGTTCGAAAATGCAAAATTCGTGATTTTGCATAAATTAGCTCTAATATAATTTATCTTATTATTGTTAACAAAAATTAGATTCTCAAATCAGAATTATCTTAAATGGTTTTGGTAAATGAGAGATCTCAGTTAATTTGAAGATTTGGGATNAGGACAGAACTTAATAGAACTAAAATAAATCATAAAGTAAAGAAGGTAAGAGGAGAAGGAATGGGGGTGCAGTGAGACTTGTCCGACTTCTTTTTATTTAAGAATAGCACAAAAAAAATCACCAAAATAGCGTGAACTAGTAGTTGAGCCTTTTTTAAGTCTTTTAAGGAAGAACTTCGATTCATAGATTTTCAAATTACTTGTTAAAATGACTGTAAACGTAATTTCAAATGACTTTCCAGGCTTCCATGTAAAGATGGCAATGCCCCATTTACAGTGGTACCTTTGATCTTTGTTTGATTCAGTATGAATGGATATCTGTGTATTTGTTTCTCTACTGTTTATTTTTAATTGCGGTTTCTCTGAAAAATTGACAAGCGTATTTCTTGCTTTCAAGAAGCAATTGAGAAATTATCAGAATTAATTGCTTACGAGGTAGAAAAACGACGATATCTTCCACATTTTGGAATAGATTAAGGTTCAAAGGGTACCGTTGTATATCAGACATTGCATTGAGGGTCATTTGAAATTACGTTTTCAGACCCTTTAACTTTGTTGTTTGTGACTAGGCGTAATCTGGGAGAACTACTTGAAGGGAAGAAAACGAGCAATCTGGGTTTCTGTATCCAACGATCTGAAGTATGACGCGGAGAGAGATCTATCAGATATAGGTTGCGAGGGACTAGATGTCCACTTCCTGTCCAAGATGAAGTATGCCAAGATAAACTCTCAGATAAACGGGAATATTAGGAAAGGGATTGTGTTTGCTACCTACAGTGCTCTCATTGGGGAGTCCCAGGGAGGAGGAAAATATAAATCAAGGTAAAATACGTGTTTTTTATAAATTTTTTAGTTATTGTTGGTGTAATCTCATTGCGCGTCGTTTGTTCAGCTCTAAAAGTATTTAATTCTATTAATTTAGTCCATTTTCATTGGAGCATACGTCTGCAATTCATTTAATAATATCAACCATGATGTAAACATGGATATCTCTGTCATTGTTGGTCAGAACCTAACATAACACTCAGTAAAGGGAAATTACGGAAATAAAAAACAATTCCTCAAATTCAATTTATTTTATTTCCTATTTTGAAATATCTCATTAGTTGTTGTTTTTAAGGCTGAAGCAGTTGTTGCATTGGTGCGGAGATGATTTTGATGGATGTATTGTGTTTGACGAGTGTCACAAGGCTAAAAACCTTTGCCCAACAGGTTGACTTCTAAAACATATTTTTTCTAAATTAAATTCAACCCAAACTGATCAAAATTTATTACATATATTTTCTAAATTAAATTCAACCCCAACTGATCAGTAATGAAGGTAAAAACTTAAATTTCTAAATATAATTTAAACCTGGGTGTATATTATATAAGACTCATTTTTTTTCCAACTCCGCGGTTAAAAAACAGGTGTATTTTACAGGTTTCAGAAGCCCGCGCAAAACTTCGATAAAGTGTTTGGATTTTAGTTGTATAATGAAGTGTTTTGGTGCCCTAAAAGGTTTTTTTAAAGGGGGAAAACATTACAATGCCAATAAGGAAAAAAAGGTTTAGCTTAATCATTCCTGTATTGACCAAAACTAGCAGATAAAAAATAAATTCTCTCAATTTAACCTTTATGCTTTCCTATCCCTTTTAGGGAAAAAAGTATCATATTTTTTAAAAAAAGGTTTTGTTTATTTTCCTGTGTGAAACAAACCAGCGGGAAAAAAACATTCCCTCTTTTGCCGCCTTTCCCCCCCTTTTTTCCAATTTTCCCCTTTTTTCTTTTTCTTTTTCATTCCCCCCCCCACCCACAGCCATTAAATTGCTCATATTTTTGCAAAATGAAAAACATACACCCCTGAAATAAATAAAACAAACATACACTCCGTTGTTAGTTGTATAATATTAATATTTCATTCATGTAAGATTAGTTTTCCTTATAGAAAGCTGAAAATTGTCCTGGTGTAATTGCTTTGACCGGCTCAGCTGTTGACACTATCAGACTATTCCTAGTTGTGTACTCCCAATTACTTGTAGAGGACATGTTATAACTCATTACACACTAAACAATATTACCATTAGATAAAATATTTAATTTTTACTATAAAGCATACCTTTGTCAAAGGAGACATATTTTGGAATCTGAACTCACATGCAAATGTATTATCACAAGCTCTGGATGTAAGATCTTCAGGTGGTCCACTAATCCAATGCGGAGATAATGTGAAGAAACTGTCTGAGTATAAAGCTGGATGATCTATTTCAGAACAAACTTGTATGTCATTACTTTTAGCATCTTTAGCAACAACAAAATATGGACTGAATGCCCGTTTAATACGTGTTCTCTGTCCTATAGTCCACTGATGAACACCGTCATGTGTCCCTACGAGCTCTCCTGTATCAATATCAACGAACCTGCCAGGTTTACTTTCAATATATTCTCCTATGAACTCTTGAAACCCTCTCCGCCCAACTCCTTTCTTCTTTCCAACAAAACAGATTCCCATACTCTCCTTCTTTGCAGCAATCTCAGGAAATCCTGCCTGTACAGCCATCTGTTTAACTACCGTCTATGAAAGAGGATTTATAATAAAAATGGTTGAAAATTATCTTAAATGCTGCATTCCAAATTCGGCATCAGTCAAAATTCTAAATTTTTAAAGGAAATGTAAAAATATAATTCCAATAAAATATAGAAAAAAATGTGTTTTAATCTTTACACGTCAATATCCCGTTTTGCATTTTTTTCTTTAAAAGTTTTCATAAAAAAAACTTTGAATTATAACGAAATCCTGTAAGCCTTTCCTTGGTTAATTCTCCAACCGGAAATATTGTATTTCTTAGAGCAGTCTGGGGCATCTGAGAGAGAAAAAAGGTTTGATCTTTAGATCTATCAATTGACTTAAGAAGAAAAGCTGGCTTTTTAGATTTAAACTCAAGATTTTCTCCATAACTGTTTCTTGCGTAGTGTCCAGTGGCAATAGCGTCACATCCAATTTTGTTTAATGCATAATCATGAAAATGGGTGAACTTGAGCCTCGAGTTGCAGAGAATATCAGGGTTAGGAGTTAGTCCTGCTCTATAGTCTTCTATCAGATCAGCAAACACTTCATTCCAATATTCCTTGAAGACAACATATTTCATGACCTTTTAATGTATAGTGGAAACAATAAAATTCTGGAATATGGATGCCTCTGTATAAGAAAGTTATGTCAAATAATCTTCTTCGTGAAATTAAGTAGTCATTTTTAACAGTATCAAGAGTATTCCTTAACGAAGTCTACAGTCTGAAACTGTATTCCAAGCTGGGATGCAACTCTCTCCGCTTCCTCGCAGTCCTAAAAGAACAAAATAATCAATGGTGTTAATACGGTTCCATATACACTTTTTCGAAAATTTTGTGTTCAGTCATTGAGGGGTGTTTCAGATCAGTAACTTTAGATAAGGAAACTTTTTCCTCGACTGTAATTTATTTCCAAGCTTTTTACCCGTCAAAACTAAAAAAACGTTAAGATAAACGAAAATACGATAATAGATGATTGCTATCCATTCCTAAAATTTCTTTTAGATTGGTCTGACCAATTGAGAGATATATCCATGAGAGATCGGGTGTATTGTTTAAATAACACTTTCCTTAAAATATACTCAATTCTTTGGGAAACATTTCACCGCTCTAGTTTGTAGATCTTTAAATTTATTATAGCTGAGACAGGTACACTAGAGGTAAATTGGGAGCTTTCCTAAAGCGATTTAGCGAATTTCCTCAATTTCCATGAGTCCGATTTTAATTAAATTTTAAGAATTCAAAAGAAATAAAACATAAACACATTTTTTTCAACACTATTGATTTTGAGAAGATGAAAAAAATCGTAGGTTACTGCGGTACAGTGAGTTTTTTAAAAATCTCTACAGATTGAGTAATTTTAACTGGTGTAACTCTAAACATGGGTCTTAAACAATAACACTTATATTATATCCAATTTACATTCCATTTTGTGCTGATAATGACCGTACAAATTGAAAAGGTTCTGAAAAATGTGGGGAAAAAGAGGGGTTAATCCTTCCCCCCTCTCCACTTTTAACAAAATCGTTCTTTAGGACGGACCAAATTTTGGTTTAGGGGTCTGTCCTAGTGAACGATTTTTGGACCCCCCCCCCTCCTATCAATTTTGTACATGACAAAATTAGTATTTATTTAGTATTATTTAGGGTTAGGTTAGGTTAAGACACTTTCTGAGCCGAGCGCTGTGGCTAGGACAGGCTAGGGGGCCGAGCGCTGCGGCCACGGGTTAGGTTAGTTAAGACACTTTCTGGGCCGAGCGCTGCGGCTAGGAAAGGCTAGGGGGCCGAGCGCTGCGGCCACGGGTTAGGTGAAGTTAAGACACTTCCTGTCAGACCCATGTACAAAATTGATAGGAGGGGGGTGGG